CCAAAAAAAAAAAAAAAAAATTAAATATAATAGAACAGTATAAATACCCAAACATTATGCTGTGTGCTCTAAGAAAATGGCTATTTCCAAAGCTTTAAACACTATCTCCCTGCTCAAAATTGTATGCTCAGCCTTATCTCTCTCCTGTGGGCTCCAGATTTTTCCATAAGATATGTTCCTCCTGGACTTCTTAGATGTCTCCCACTACTTTCAGCCAAAGAAAGCCTTGCCTTCTCTAACATCTACCACTACCTAAACCCAGCTACCCCATTTAATTAAACAATGCCATTGCCCAACCATTTGTTCAATCAAGAAGCCTAGAAGTCGCTCTGAGCCCTCCCATTCCCTCACTTCTCAATTGTTATGTGCCAACAGCTCTACTTCCAAAATACCGCCCTAAGTCAACTGCTGAGGTTTAAACCACAACACTCCACTCCCTACTCATGTGACAAAACTCATAAAACCTCAAGACCCAGCACTTCACCAGTGTCTGTAAGGCTGACCAGAACCGGCTTTCTAAACTAAGCTCCCCCTTAACCTAGACACACCAGTATTATCTAGTTCCTGCAGAGATCTGGGCTCTCCTCACCCTGGAGGGCTGTGCTCTTCATTATAGTTAGCTTCTTTTTTTCTTAAAGTTATGAACACTGACTGATGTTTTATCTGCATGTATGTCTGTGTGAAGGAGTTGGATCCCCTGGAACTGGAGTTATAGACAGTTGTGAGCTGCCATGTGGGAGCTGGGAATTGAACCTGGGTCCTCTGGAAGAGCAGTCAGTGCTCTTAACCCTTGAACCATCTCTGCAGCTCCTAGGTCTTCAAGATCTTAGCTTAACATGAGAATTAGAGATGTCAGTGGGAAGACCCAGAAAGGAAAAGACATCAAGAGATTAACAGACTTGGTGGGAAAAAAAAAAAAAAAACTTTTAACCCCAGTTAGAGGCAGTCAAATCTCTGTGAGTTTGAGGCCAGCCTGGTCTACATAGCCAAGGGTATACAGCAAGACCTTGTTTAAAATAAAACAGAGAAAGAGGAAACAACTTGAACAGATAAGAATGGGGAATGAAGACAGTGGTGGCACACACCTTTAATCCCAGCCCTTGGGAGGCAGAGGCAGGCAGATCTCTGAGTTCAAAGCCAGCCTGATCTATGGAGCAAATTCTAGGGCAGCCAGGGCTACACAGAGAAACCCTGTCTCGGGAAAAAGAAAAAAAAAAAGAAAAAGAAAAAGGGGAGTAGGGATGAAATATGAAATACTAAGAAGTCAGCAGCAGTGTCAAGTAGGACATAGTTGACGGTGAGTGAAAGTCTAACAGTCTGAATTATGGCCTGGGGACAAGGTGGATGAGAAAGGAGACAAACTGAGGGGAGGGACTACGGAGCAAGGCGAGAACTAGAAAAAGTGAGAGACAGAGGTGGAAGGCAATAGATCAGTAATAAACTGGAATCAGTCCTTAACCGGGTTGTCAGCCGCCAGGACCCAAAGTAGCGACCAGGGAAAGAGGTTCCCTAATGGAAGAAGCTTGGAGAAGAGGTGCTGGGAAAGTGACAGACCGGCAGTGGGTGCCGGACGACGACTGGGGAACGACCGGAAGAAAAGTGAGATGGGAATAGGTGACGAAAACAAAGTCAGGGCTTGGCAGTGGGCACTGGCGGGGAGGAGAATGGCGGGGGGGGGCACTGGTGGAAAGGTCACTAGCGACAGGCCAATGAGGAGGTGTCTAAGTGAGAGGGAACACTGACGACTCCCCCCACCCTATGTCCAAGCTCCGTCACACCTTTACAGGCGTCAACAGAGGGGAGGGGCCTTGACGGGGACGAGGTGGACAGCTGGGAGGTGGACCAGGAGGCCCCTGTGACAGGCTGAGACCGGTTCTGAGAGCGGGGGAAACTGGCCGACCACTGACAGGCACGAGCGGGTACGGTAGCTGAGAAGGGGGCTGACGGACAGGAAGGGTTAGCTGGGGGAATGGGGAGGGAGGAATGGAGGAATGAATGAATGAATGACGGGAGTGGAGAGTGCTGGCTGCCTGGCTGACAAGCGAGCAGACCGGCGGAGGCGCTGACCCCCCGACGAAGCGCAGGGTGACAAAGGCGCCGATCCACTGACTGGGCGCCGACTGCAGGTGCTGAGTGACAGCAGGACGCGGACTGACGGAGAAGGGGGAGGGGGAATCCCCTCCTCTCCCCGGGCCCGAGGAAGCAGCGGGCGCGCGGCCGCACTCACCTGCCCCGCAGCCTGGGGGTCGCGGCGGCTCCTCCAAGGCCCGAGCGAGGCCAGGACGCTCGCAGAGGTGAAGTGCGGACGGCCTGGAGAGGGCCGCACGCACATGGGCCCGGGCCCGCGGCGCGGCGCCTTCGGACTCGGGCGCAGCCGGCGGGAGGCTCGGGACCCGCTCGGGACCGGCTCGGGGCCGCGGGCGAGATCGCTCCAAAATGGCGGCGGCGCGAGCGCGCGCGCTCCGGGGACCCGCTTCCGCGCAGGGCTGCGCGCGCGGACGGGGACGGGGCGCGGGCGCGCCCCGGGGGCGGGGCCAGCGGAGGCGGGGCCGAGTCGCGGCTCCCTGCTGGGGTCTGGCCGAAGGCTCTGGAACGTCGCGGCCTCTGGGGCTATCTGTCCTGAGACGTCTCTGCGATCGAGCTGGCTGTGCTAAATTCCCTGGGCATCTTCAGTTACCCAAAAGCAGCGGCGCGCTGTGGCCTGCTCGGGTGGGTGCTCAGGTCTCCTCCCCGCCCTGTTTCTGAACTGGGCAGCGAACAGCCCTACTTTTTCTGAGTGCCCGGTGCATGTTGCATACGCGTTCACCTAACATGGGTTGGAATTAGTTCAAATGAAAATTAGACTGATTTCCGGTGGCAGGGTAAGCCGTGGGAAAATATTAAAAATAGAGACGAAACATGTAAGGAATGTCAGCACATGCTAGTTATGAATTCACTGCCTTTCAGCTGCAAGTTCACCAGTGCTGTGCAAAAATACAACCCGGCGTGGGTGATGCACTTGGGAGACCCAAAGCAGGAGGGCAAGCAAAACTTTGTCGCTCCGGACGTAGTGGCACACGTCTTTAATCCCAGCACTCCAGAGGCAGGGGGAAATCTCTGTCAGTTCGAGGTCCGCCTGGTCAACCCAGCGAATTCCAGATCATTTAGGACTGCGTAGTGAACAAAGTCTGAAGGGGGTTGGGGTGAGGGTTTCTGGGCCCTTCAAGTATTTTGCCTTTGAGGTGGTACTGCTGTGCTTCTTCAGCAGAGGGCGCCAAAGAGACACTGTTTGTGAAAAAGGAAAGTGTTTTTCGTTCCCTGGTCTAGAAAGCAAATCTGGAGACACCTGGGTTCACGCCAAGGTCTCTTGCGGTGGTCCCGCAGCACAGCTTTTCCCAGACCACACTGACTGAAAGTGACTTTGGTAAGATTTGCCCTGAATACAGAAACTGAAAGTGCTACAGTACCAGTACTTGTACTGGGGTACCAAATACAGGAGATGACCCATAGTCTTAAAAACCGCAGCAGTGAGCAGGTGCAACCCTGCACTATTTTTGTGCCCAGGCCAGAGTTCGTGATTCAGCAACAGCTCCATGCACCCTTCACATGCGCGCGCGCACACACAGACACACACACACACACACACACACACACACACGCCATTTTTGCAGTGCTAAGCAAGCACTGTGCTGCCGAGCTGCATGTCCAGCACTTCTTTCTTTTTTTTTTCTTTTCTTTTCTTTTTCTAATTTTGAGCTAGGCGTTTAGTCCCAACATTTGGGAGGTTGAGGCAGGAGGATCAGTAGTTCAAGGCTGGTTTGGGCTGTGAGTGGAGTTCAAGGGCTGCCTAGACCACGGGAGACCTTTGTTTGTTTACTTATTTGGGGCTTAAGGTTTTGAGAAGTTGCTCTGGCTGGCCTTGAACTTGTGGCAATCGCCCTGCTCCTTTCAAACCCACACAGAATTCATCAGCAAACCTACTGTACCTTTCACTCCAATATCTAACCTGTAAGGCCAGTTTCTCTTGTCTGACACAAAGCAGTCTAGATGGGCCCCCTACTTTTATCCTGGAGGACTTGCTGTAGGCCATTCAGCATGGGGTTCAAAGGGAACCTATTAAAATAAGTCAGATCAGATCTATGACCTCAGGGCTTGCTGTCTCACCCAAGATGAAAGCAAGAATCCTTGCTGTTGCCCACAAAGCTATTTGTGATGTGATCTCACTTTATCTACTCATTTCATTTCGCTTCAGTCATGATAACCTCCTGCCCCGGGTCAATTGCTCACACTGTCAGCTGTATCTTTTCAGGCATCTCCTCTTGCTATTGCTATGCTTGCTGTCTTGCCTCAGACCTGCTCATTGCCTCCTCCACCTCTGTGAGGGCCTCCCCGACTGCTCTGTTTAAAGCCTCAAGCTTATATGGCACTAACTTCACAGCCCCCTCTCCTGTCTGGCCTTTTCTCCTTCCCAGTGGTATCACTCACTAGTCATATCCACTAAAGAGACCTGAAACCACACAGTGATTTCACTGGGGGGAAGTTCATTATAAAATGATCAGTTATAGGATTATTATGAAGAAAGAAAACGATAGTCGAGAAAGAAAAATCTTAAAGAGAGTTTATTCTCCCAGTGGGAATTCATTCTTTCTTAGAGAAGTTTGGCAGCGGCATCCCTGCTGAAAACAGAGACATTCCCTGAGCTTCCTAGGTAGAACCAACTGCCACGCACTGCAGAATAGAGCTTATAAAGAAATACATCTCCCAGAGAGCAAGCAAAGACGCAAACTAACCCCTGAGGTACCTGTGAGCATCTCTGGGAATTACTCATAGGGGTAGCAGTCAGAGGGAAGTACCAGTACCTGATGGGAATGAGAATAATGCATGTCCTTCCTGTAGCCCTGGCAACAGGAGCAAGGTAGAGAGTGCCCATGGAAAGCCAGTGTCTCCTGTGGGAAGTTAGTGTGCTGGATGAAAGTGGACCTGGAGCTGACGTGGTAAGTAGAAAACTGGACAGTCAACTCTGTGGACCTCCTTCTATACCACAACAGAACAATTACATTTCCAGCTAGCCATATTGCTCTTGGGGTTGGCTAGATGGCTCAGTGGGTAAAGTCAATCACTCCCAAACTGACCGTCTGAATTTGATCCCTATGGCCCACCTGGTAGAGAGAGAACTAGCCGGGCACGGTTGTGCACACCTTTAATCCCAGCTCTCGGGAGGCAGAGGCAGGTGGATCTCTGTGAGTTCAAGACCAGCTTGATCTACAAAGGGAGTTCCAGGACAGCCAGAACTGTTATACATAGAAACCCTGTCAGAAAGAAAGAAAGAAAGAAAGAAAGAAAGAAAGAAAGAAAGAAAGAAAGAAAGAAAGAAAGAAAAGAAAAGAAAAGAAAGAAAGAATTGGTTGCTACAAGTTGTCCTCTGACATCCACATGAGCTCAGTAGCAGGCACAAACACACTCACAAATAGCAAATAAATGTAACTTTGAAAATTTATTCTGTAGTATAATACTTGCTTTTTCCCTAAAAATGAGATTATGTACACTTCCAGAAGTCATTATACCTATCACTGGCTACTTTGATTATTCTTCAAGTGTAGTTGCTAGCCCACTGAAAAGTTTCTTATGCTAACACTAAATAGTGATGTTACCATCTAAACGCTTGTATTTTAAGATAAAAAAGTATGTACAAATATATAACAAATGATTAAAAATATGCAAAGCTACTACATTTCTTATTTCCGTAATTGGTGCAGTATATAACCGGCATGAATTGTCTTTAACCATTTATGATGTACACAAAATACCTAGAACAAAGGCAAGTATTTCTGACACAAAATAACCATATAGAGGGGGCTGGAGAGATGGTTTCAGTGGTTAAGAGCATTGCCTGCTCTTCCAAAGTTCCTGAGTTCAATTCCCGGCAACCACATGGTGGCTCACAACCATCTGTAATGAGGTCTGGTGCCCTCTTCTGGCCTGCAGGCATACACACAGACAAAATATTGTATACATAATAAATAAATATTTTAAAAAACATATAGAGTAAGCTCTATCCCTAAGAGCACTAAATACAAAAGTTGTTCAACAATAAAATGGAAAAAGAAAAGCTATGATATAAAATGAGCGCTACCTCAGAGCACCTCAGAACAGGACTAGTGGTGGCAACCTTGTCCTTCCCTCGAGAGCCCCTGCGTCTCTATGCCAAGACAGACCCAGAAATTAGAATCTCTAGAAAGGACGAATGTAGGCAGAACCATGCTTATATGCACCATTATCAAATTGCTAGGGGCCAAACAGAAAAACCATGAAAGCAGAAAGAAAAAAATGACTCACCAACATTAAGGGAACAATAAAGTTTATAGCTGAGGCTCATAAAAGATCAAGGAAGTGATAAAATAACCTCCAGAGTGTGAAGCAAAAACAAAACCTGTCAGAGAAAAACCCCATGTGAGGCAAAACTATCCTTCAAAAACTGAAAGTGAAAAGCTGGGGGGATAGCTCAGTCAGTAAAATGATTACTGACTCACGTGTGAGCATGAGGTCCTGGGTTTGAACCCCAAAACCTACGTAAAAAACCAGGCCAAGGGACGGGAGAAATGACGCAGTGATTAACAGCACTGGCTGCTCTTCTAGAGGATCTGGGTTTGATCCACAGCTCCACACGTCAGCTCACAACCATCTGTAGCTCCAGTTCCAAGGATTCAACACCAGCCATACTCACATCCTTGTGGCATATACTCACACAGATACATACATACACATAAAAATCATTATAAAGAAAGGAAGAAAGAAAGAAGACAGAATTCAAGCTTGACTGAGCGTGCAGGCGCACACACATACACACACACACAATTTATTTTTTAATGATGATGAGCTAACAGGTGGCAGTGGTGTACATCTTTAATCCCAGTACCAGGGAGGCAAAAGCAGATGCATCTCTGTGAGTTTGAGGCCAGCAGGATTTACAGAACAAGTTCCATGACAGCCAGGGCTACCTGAAGAAATGCTGTCTCGTTTTGGAGGAAAAAAAAAATGAAAATGAGGGTGAGCTAAAAACATCCCAGGCACATCAAAGAGAAAACACATTGCAGGTACACCTATACTCCTCCTGGGTATAGGCGGAAAGTGTGGAGTCACCACACTATTGCTTGCACTCCCCCATTCATTGTAGAACTCTTCAGAGCCACCAAAATATAAAATCAGCTAAATCCCAATTGACAGGTGAATGAGCAAAGAATAAAAGGGTTGGGGCTTGGGAGAGGGCTCAGTATTGACCACACAATGGACCATTGACCGTAATGAAGAAAAGGTGACGAACTAGAGAACAGCGTACCAATTCAGTTGGACCCTAAAAGACAGGTGTCATCTGCATCTTTTTCAGTCACTGTGTAGTCTTGGAACTCACTTTGTAAACCAGGCTGACCCAGTACTCAATGAGATACACCTGCCTCTGCCTCTCAAGTGCTGGTATTAAAGGTGTGTGTCTGGCTATATGCATTCTTTCATAAGCAGAAATTTTTAAAATGATGATCTGAATGCAGAAGAGAGACAATTAGAGGCTGGGAAGGATGCCAGGGGGAGAACAGATGGAGAGGAGTTAAGTGTGAGCTAACATGACATATAGATATATGAAAATATCATGGCAAAACCACTAATTTGGCAGGGTTAGTGAAATGGTGCATACCGATAATCTCAACAGTTGGTAAGTGCAGGCAGGAGGATCAGGAGGTCAAGGTCATTCTCAGAGGCATGCCTAGATAAAGGCCACCCTTGCCCACGTGACACCCTGAATCAAGAAAAAAAATTACTTTGTACAATTAATACATGTTTATAAAGATTGCATTATAGCACAGTTCAAATAGTACATAAGCCAGAGGTCATCTCACGACACAGAAACTAATGAAGTGTCCCAGAGTAAAATTCAGTAACATATAAAAAGGGTTGTGTACCCAGAATAATGGGCTTTATTCCATTACTTGTCTAGCATACAAAATTCATAAGGATTTTTTTGTTTGTTTGCTTGTTTTTAAGTCAGGGTTTCTCTGTGTAACAGTCTTGGCTGTCTTGGAACTCACCCTGTAAACCACGCTGGCCTTGAACCAGCTGGCAACTTTTTATATCTTACTAGTGCTCGGGTTCCACAGTTTGACTGATTTGGTTCATCTGTCAAATTCACTGAAGCTTCATGCATTTTAATATATACTCATGCCAGGCGGTAGTGGCCCACTCAGCTTTAATCCCAGCACTCGGGAGGCCGAGACAGGAAGAGCTCTGTGAGTTTGAGGCCAGTCTTCCAGGACAACAGGGCAACACAGAGAAACCCTCTCTCAAAAAACTAAATATGTATTCATTTTACTCAAAAGGAAAAAATCTTGAAAACAAATACTAATTAAGGGTAAACCCATGAACAATATAGTTGTTTGTTGTTAGTGCTTTTAGAAATGGTATCATTGCAGTGTAGGATGGTCCTGAACTCTAGTTAATCCTGTTTCAGCCTCCCAAGTGCTAGTATTTACTATAAACATGTGCCCCACACCTCACCAATAATACAGTTCTTAAGATGAGTGTATCAATGCCTACAGCTGTCTTTTAAGTTGATCTAAGTGGATCTTCAGGCATCTTGGTGTACGTCTGTAATCCCAGCACTCAGGAGATGCAGATAAGAAGATTGTGAACTTGAGATTAGTTTGGACTATGTAGCAAGATCTTATGTCAAAAATAAAAATGAGGGCTGGGCAGTGGTGGCATACACTTTTAATCCCAGCACTCGGGAGGCAGAGGCAGGCGGATCTCTGTGAGTTTGAGGCCAGCCTGGTCTACAAAAGCCAGGACAGGCTCTAAAACTACAGCGAAACCCTGTCTTAAAAATAAAATAAAATAATAAAAAATAAAATAAAAATGAATAACACTTGCCAGGTAGTGCTGGCTTTAATTTCAGCACTTGGGAGGCAGAGGCAGGCAGACCTCAGTGAGTTCAAGTGCAGCCTGGTCTACAAAGCAAGTTTTAGGATAGTTAAGACTGTTACACAGAGAAACCCTGTCTTGAAAAGTCAAATAAATAAAAATAAGAATAAACACATGAAGGTAATTAAAATTTCCTGGGCTTGGTGCTGTACCCCTTTAATCCCAGCACTCGGGAAGCAGAGGCAAGTGGATCTCTGTGAGCTTGAGGCCAGCCTGATCTACAGAGTAAGTTCCGGGACAACAAGACTACTCACAGAGAAACTCTGCCCTCCAAAACAAAACAAAACAGAATAAAAAATTAGTAGGAAGGGTTGGAGAAACGGCTCAGTGGTTAAAAGCATTCACTGTTCTTGCAGAGAGGCCATGGGTTCAGTTCTCATCTTACAACAATCTGTAAGTTCAGTCTGAGGAGATCTGACACCTTCTTCTTGCCTCTGCAAACACCAGGCATATACATGATACACATACATGTGGACCAAACACGTGTACACATAAAATGAGATAGTATTTTTTAAAACCTAAGATAGCCACCAACTTCAAAGGTGCAGATAACACCTCTGACCTGTGAATCCTGAGAGTGACTTGATGTTTAACTAACTACACAAGCATGAATCACCCCACTTCTATTTTCCCCAGTTTCCACCAATAAAGATACCTACCAAACTCTCTCCCGGGGGGCTCAGAGTTGAGACTGACTCTCATCTCCACTTGCAAAATTAGTCCTTTCTGGCATACTGCAGGTGGGCAAAATGGGCTTTGAATGACTGTGCAGTTGGTAGCAGTTTTCTTATTTATAAAACAATTGTCTTCAGCTCAACACAGTGTAGTAATTTTAAAAGGTAATGATTTTGTAGCTCATAAATAACCATCCGTTCCCATCCTGCTTGGAACCTCATGACTACTTTCGGCAGATGGACTGCAAGCGCTTAGTTTTTAGGCAGTTAAAAGGCAATGCCCAGCAATGGTGACAAAAAGGTGTGGGGGAGACCTTTCTATTCTTTTCCACTTTGATACGTACTCCAACAGTCCACTTGGCCTTCCCAGGAGTTCATGTGAATGGAAAAACCATTTAAGACTTGGAGATTAAAGCTGGGATGCCTTTTATCCCAGCACTTGGGAGGCAGAGGCAGGTGGATTGCTGGCCTGGTCTACAAGCAAGTTCCAAGACAACTAGGGCTAAGACAGAGAAACCCTGTCTTCAACCCCCCGAATCCCCCCCAAAAAAAACATACTTGGAGATTGTTGCTGAAGCCTAGTCTAAGACAGTAATTTTGAAAGAAAGGCTTAAATGCTTAAAAAATAAAAACACCTAAAATATATAGTATAATATATAGATAGAGTATTGTTATACTGCCATGCTCAGTAGCCTAAGTTCTAGACCTTTAGGGATCTCAGCTAAAACCAGACTTGAATTTGTGGCTTTGACAAAGAATAACATTTCGAGACTAGCCATTTTATGAAGCAGAATTTGAGTTTATTTTTTATTTAATTTTTTATTGATTTTATTGAGCTATGCATTTTTCTCTGCTCTCCTCCCTTCCTCTCCCCTCCCCTTCAACCCTCTCCCATGATCCCCATGCTCCCAATTTATTCAGGAGATCTTGTCTTTTTCTATTTCCCATGTAGATTAGATCCATGTATGTCTCTCTTAGGGTCCTCTTTGTTGTCTAGGTTCTCTGTGATTGTAAATTATAGCCTGGTTTTCTTTGCTTTATGTTTAAAAACCACTTATGAGTGAGTACATATGATAATTATCTTTCTGGGTCTGGGTTACCTCACTCAGTATGATGTTTTCTAGCTCCATCCATTTGCCTGCAAATTTTAAGATGTCATTATTTTTTTCTGTTGTATAGTATTCCATTATGTAAATGGACCACATTTTCCACATCCATTCTTTGGTCGAGGGGCATTAGGTTGTTTCCAGGTTCTGACTACGACAAATAATGCTGCGGTGAACAAAGCTAAGCACACGTCCTTGTGGTATTATGTTTTATTTTTTAATGGAAACAAAGGATTATGACAGGCACTTCCATGACAAAAAGAAGACTCTAAGACAATGAAGAGCAAAACTGCAACACATGGGCTAAATATTTTCCACTCTCATTATCACCATCAGCACTTTGCTCCAACTTCCAACAGATAAGAGCTGGAGCTTAATAAAAAAAATTAGTATAGACTTAAGCACAGTGGTTAAGAGAGACAATGCAAGTGTGATAATGGCCGCCTTTAATCCCAACAGATGCAGCCAGAGCTCTGTGAATTCAAGATGTGCCTGGTCTACATATCAAGTTCCACCCAGGCCAGGACAAATGAGGGTGTGTGTTGAAGCAAGTATGACATCCAAGAGTATAGGTGTAGGCTTCTTGAGCAGTCAGTAAGATAAATCCATAGTTAAGGGCTCTGGAAGGGAGCGATACAATTATTTAGCATTGATTATATATCCCATCTTGATGGCTCTTAGGTTGTGTCTCAAAAGATTACTAATGTGCCCTCCCCAAAAGTAGGATGGGTGAGGGAGCTCTGGGAATGCCTTGGATGATAATCTGGCAAAGCAAAACCAGAAATTACTAAGGTTACACAAGAGATTTAGTTTATTGTCCTTTCCTTGTAAACCAGGTTTCTCATGAGATTTCTGGAAAATTGCAGGTTATAGCTGGGAAGAGAAAGACCTTAAGCAGTTGTTAATTGTGCTAGATCTCTTGCTTCTCTACTGGCAAAAGGCTAGGAGTGGGGAGGAGGAAGGCTCTCCATTTCTCTTCTCATACCCCCTCCCCAATTTCCCTGCCTTTCTCGCCTGCTTCATTGCCTCTTCATTCTAAATTCACCCTTCTATATACCTGGCCTCCGAGTTAGTGATTGCAAACTTATTTACTCCTAGAGGCAGCAGCATTAGGTCGCCAGGCTGCCTCTTTGCTAGCGAAAGTGGGCACACCAGCCTGGAGTGGGAGTGAGTCTAGGGCAGACATGCCAATTTGGCTAGAGTTGTAAAGAGTGGGTGGGTGGAGACGTGGTCTATCAATGGTGCCAACCTTGGACAGGGAACCCCAAGGAAGTACAAAAGGGCTACACATTCAGACACAAAATTGTGAACTTAAAACATTGAGGTGCTTTTTTAAATATTTGTTTTTAGAGTGTTTGTCTGTGCACCACGTGCGTTCATGGCGCCCATGGTGGTCAGAAGAGGGCATCGGATCCGCAGGAAGTGCAGTCACAGGTGTGAGCTGCCATGTGGGTGCTGATACTCAAGTCCAACTTTTCAGGAAAAGCAGCCTGCATTCTTATTCGCTGAGCCATCTCTTCAGGCCCAAACATTTTTTTTTTCACACTTGTTTTATTTTATTTTGCAGAGACAGTGTTTCTCTGTGCAGCCCTGGCTGTCCTGGAACTCATTCTGCAGACCAAGCAGGTCGAAACTCAGAGATCCGCCTGCCTCTACCTTCTGAGTGCAGGGATTAAAGGCCTGTGCTACCAAGGCCCAGAAGTGGTTTTCACACTTTTAAAGGATTGAGCTCTGAGGTTTGTCTATAACTAGCTTGGTCAATTGTCCGGTGTGAATGCTATAGATGACGAAGTCCTGTAGCGATGACACGCAAAATGAACATTAAGCTCACAACCCTCGGCCGGGGTTGATACCCCTAGGTGGTCCAATACAATACGTCTGACGCCCCCTGGTAGACATCACTACAAGCCCAAAGTCCCATCGAATCAGATGCGGGCCAGGGATATCAGAACCAGCATTGCTCGCCGGCCAGACTGACAACCGCACTATCTCCCCCACCCTCCACGGGCGGACCCGGGTCACGCATCCTCCACGGTCGGGAAGTGCCACCAGCTCTAGACCCCTCTAACCGGCTGGGGCCTTTCTCGCTGGTACATTAGCTGACGCCCCAGGGCGGGCGCTCCTCTGGCGCCAGGGGGCGCGCGGCTGCTCAGGGGACCTTCTGGCCTGCGGCGGCGGCAGCTCGACTGCTCCGAGGCGGGCCAGGTGAACCCCTGCGTTTCCCCGCAACGTGCGGGTATTGCTTGAGCTACTATCATGGAGGTGCCGGTGGATACTGGGCCTCGGCAAGCTGGCGGAGGACTAGGCGTGGCCAGGTCCACATCCTCCGGCCGTGCAGCGCGGGCCTCGGCAATACCCTGGGCGCGCTTCTCTGCCTGGCTGGAGTGCGTGTGCGTGGTCACCTTCGATCTGGAGCTGGGCCAGGCGCTGGAGGTAAGCTATGGGCTGGTTAACCCTCCAGAACTGTCCCCGTGCCTCTTCTTCGGCGACCTGAACCTCTCCCGTCGCCCCTCCTCTCCGGACGTCCCTCCTCTCCCGATGCCCCTCCCCCATGCTCCTCCCTTCCCTCGCCTGCACCCCAGCTGCTTTTTCCTCCCAGTCTTTTCTCGCGCCCACCCTCCAGGAAGCACATCCTATGGCCTCCTGGCCTGTAGTCTTCCTGCTTGGTCTAGGGTCCTCTTAGGCGCCTCTCTGAATACTTTGTATCCTCAGGCTGACCTTTCCCCCACTTCTTTGGTCTAGTGACTAGCTTAGCGACCTCCTCTTTCTTAACCCTCTTTCTCATTGACTGCCACCTCTCCAAGAGGAACCTCTTTAGAGTTCTAAGAGCGCTCCCCTGACCAAGAAAGAGGCGGTCTCCAAGGCCTGCCTGCTTACCCATCAATATATCTTCCGCAACATTTTTCATGGCCCTTTCCCCAAAGAGGCAAAAATATCTCCTGCCCTCAGTTGCTCAAGCCAGAGTCTTAGGGTACATCTCCCCCCAGGTTTCACATCGTGTTTGTCACAGTCTCCAATGTCCTCCATAGTTTATGTCTGAATTTCCGGCTAAGAAGTCCTGTGGCATTCATCTTTCATTTAGAATCAGATCCAGACCCTGTGAGGCCCTGCTTGGCCCCTCTGTTTTGAGCTCTTCACAACCTTTGGCATCTGGTCACCAGCTGTGTGCAGCTGGGCAGGGCCTTGGGCTTTTGATGTAGTCTTCTTCCGGCATGAGGGCCTCCATCCCACCTACACATAAAGGCAGTCTCTCTTCTAGATAAAATGAAAATATCAGCCAGACATAGTGGTGTATGCAAACCCAGGGTTCAGGAGACTGAGGCAGGATCGTGAGTTTGAAGCCAGTATGGATTATATAGTGAGCTACAGAATCAGACTTGTATCTGAAGAAAGAGAAAAGGAAAGGAAGAAAGAAAGAAAGAAAGAAAGAGAGAAAGAGAGAAAGAAAGAAAGAGAGAGAAAAAGATAGCATAATGGCACGTGTCTTGAATCCCAGTACTCTGGAGGCAGAGGCAAGCTGATCTCTATGAGTTCAAGATCAGCCTAGTCAACTTAATGAGTTACAGCCATGGCTGCACAGTGAGACCTTGTCTCAACAAAAAAAAGAAAACAAAACAAAAACCACCAGAAAAAAGAGGAGGAAGAAGAAAATGTTTCCGGCTCAGTCAGTGAGCCCTTGGCAGGGCAGGTCCGGCCAAGATATTGTCTGTGTTCTAAAGGCAACTGACCATCACAGCAGGTCTGCTGTAGGTGGAGGTGTCTCAGAGGCAGATCCTGATGTCAAAGGGACCTGTGAGAGCCTGAGAGGTGGTGAACGTGGCTGAGGTAAGGCTGAAACCCTTGAGACAGCTGCTGCAAGGGACCTTTGTGGTTGGGAAATGCTATGGCCCAGATGATCTGAGAGGCTCCAGGTCTAAAATCTTCTAAACAGAAAAGTATAATTCGTTTTTGTTGCGGGAGATTGTGTGTTTTAAAACAGGGGTTCTTCTGTGTAGCTTTGGCTGTCCTGGAACTCACTCTGTAGACCAGGCTGGCTGCAAACTCAGAGATCCACCTACCTCTGCCTCCTGAGTGGGTGCTGGGATTAAAGGTGTATACCACCCCAAACCAGCCACACATACTTTTTTTTTTTTGAGACAAAGTTTCTCTGTAGCTTTTGGTACCTGTCCTGCAACTAGCTCTTGTAGACCAGGCTGGCCTCGAATTCACAGAGATCCACCTGCCTCTGCTTCCCGAGTGCTGGGATTAAAGGCGTGAGCCACCACCGCCCGGCTTCACACATACTTTTTTGTTTTTTTGAGAGTCTTTGTAGCCAGGGCTGTCTTAAAACTCACTATGTAGACCAGGCTGGCTTTGCATTCACTTATATTGGCTTTTTGAGGGATGAGTCCCCTGAAACAGACCTTCTTCAGGCTCAGTGCCTCGGCCTCTGAATACTGGGATCGAAGGCATGCACCACCATGCTTGGCTGTCAGTTAGGTTTCTTGTTCACCCAGGACCACCAGTCGAGGGGTGGCAGCACCACTGCAGGCTGGGCTTTCCTACATCATTCGCCAATTAAGAAAATGTACTTCAGCCAGGCGGATCTCTGTAAGTTCCAGACCAGCCTGGTCTACAGAGCGAGTTCCAGGACAGGCTCCAAAGCTACCCAGAAGAAACCCCACAGGCCAGTCTTACGGAGGAATTTTCTCAATTGAGAGTCACTCTTCCCAAATGACTCTAGCTAGTGTCAAGTTGACAGAAAACTAGCCAGCACACACCCGGTATACACTAGGGCTGAAGGTCATAGAGGGGGGGGGAGATCGTACTCGAGGAGAAGGCTCTGATGTAAGACAGCGTGTATGGAAGGAGGTCACAGAAGGCCAGAAAGTGGGCCAGATAGACAGCCCGCCCTTGCAAACACATGCTTATGGCATCCACTGAGCTGTTCTAGTGGACGGTGTTACCAAAGGCAGATACAGATTCACCAAGTGCTCTGTCTTCCCCTACAGCTCGTCTATCCGAGTGACTTCCGGCTCACAGATAAGGAGGTAGGTTCTGGACTTCTTGGGAGTGGGTGTCCCCAGGAGTGAGCCAACCCTCACTGGGCTCTGTTTGTTTCAGAAAAGCAGCATCTGCTACCTGTCCTTTCCAGACTCCCACTCAGGTAGATAATCCCACGCTCCCGGAACACTGGCTCTGGGGCTGGAGGGTCATGGGCGAAAGGTGGAGTGATGGGACCAGTGGTAGGTAGGCTGCTAGCAGTAGATGAGGCACTGTAAGGATGACCCCTCACCAGACCCCAGCTGCAGCAAGAGAGCCAGGTTCTCTAAAACCCATAGACAGCCATAGATCTGGGCAATTGTGTAGTAGATTCTCCTGTCCCAGGCCGACTGAGCCAGGCTCCTGCAGGGAAACTGAAGGTGGTTCTCTGTGCGGATTCATCCCAAGACCCTATGTGGTGTATAGGATCAGGATAGGAGTCTGTTGGGAAACAGATTGTCAGTTTTCCCTTGAGTGGGCATTTACCCTTGTGCAACAGCCCTCACCCCGACAATGGGAGGAGAGTCTCCCATTCACGAATGTGTGATGGGACTGCCTCTTTTCAGGATGCCTTGGAGACACTCAGTTCAGTTTCCGCATGCGTCAGTGTGGAGGTCAGAAGAGCCTCTGGCATGGTGACGACAGGCCTTATAACAGTAAGGCCCCCTTGGCACTGCAGGTGAGTAACGGGATGTCTCATCTGTCTTCTTTCCTTTTACTAGGGGCTCGTGGCTCTGAATATCTTCTTTAAAGCCCCTGGGCTTGTGGAGTAGAAGTGTTCAGGCCCCACCCTGGGAGCCCTGCTCTGATCATGCGCTGGGGTCTCCACCTGGGCCAGCTCTTACGCGGTTCACTAGGATCAGTAAAGTTGGTCAGGTTGATCATGTCGCCCTTGCTGGGACCTGTGTGATTAAATAAGCCATGGCTCAGTGAGCAGAGGCCTGCAGAGCCTCCTGAGACCTTGAGGCACTCTTGTGTTGGCTAAGTCCTTTCTGTGTCAGCAGATGTCCCCTAGACCTTCTGAACCAGAGAACACTAGGTCCAGATGTGGTAGGGAAAGTGCTGGAGCTAGTCTCGGACAGCTGCCTCCTAAATCTCCTGGATTCTTAGGTTTGCTTTCTTTTTTTTTTTTGCAGGAGGGGGCGTTCAAGACAGGGTTTCTTTGTATAGCCCTAGCTGTCTTGGAACTACTAGTTCTGTAGTAGACCAGGCTGGCCTTGAACTCATAGAGATCCACCTGCCTCTACCTCCCAAGTGTTAAGCCCAAGTGTTAAGGAATAAAGGCATTGAGCCACCACCCGGCATTTTTTTTTTTTTTAAAAAAAAGACAGGGTCTCTCCACGTATCCCTGCCTGTCCGGTAATTCACTACTTAAGCCAGGCTGGCCTTGAACTCATAGAGATCTACCTGCCCCTGCCTCCCAACCCTAACCCTGAGTGCCTGGACTAAAGGCCTGTATCACCATGCCCAGCCTTCGGTTTCCTCCTTAACAGCCCCTGTGCATGTCACCCTGGATCTTGTTAATGGCCTGCGTAGGGCATGGCTTAACATTGCATTCCTTACAGAGAGAGCCAGCGCACTACCTGGGCTATGTGTACTTCAGACAGGTGAAGGACAGCTCTATGAAGAGGGGCTACTTCCAGAAGGTGAGCTGCCTGCCGCTGGGAGGTAGCAAATGGTGGACAGTTGGGGGACAGCTAGTGAGGAGCTCTGAGCCTCCAGGGTGCCTACCCATCTGCAGCCCGCCTGGGTAGCAAAACCAAGGAGGAGCCACCACAGGGCCCAGTTCTTTCCTGAAGCCTTTCTTGGCCTAGTATGGCACTTGAGGCCTTTCTGTCCTTGGGCCCCGAATATCCCAGCTCCTCGGGTCCTGCTGATGTCTTCATACTGCCAGGGTGAGGACAGTTTAGCCTCTGTGGGCCCCAGGCCCAGTCCTAACGCTGCTTGTCACCAGGGGTTATCTACCCTATGGTTACCTATACTAACTTAGGGTGTAGACATCAGGCTTTCTCTTGTCCAATCCTGATACATGAGTTAGGCTATTCTGTGGGGATGTGCTGCCCTGACCAGCTCTGGGTAAGCATGGCTTCAGGGCTGCCATGAGCTACTGAATTAGAGGAGCGATGCCTGTAGCTGAATGCCCTCTGATTGGCCCTGCATCATCACAGTCTTTAGTGCTGGTGTCCCGCCTGCCATTTGTCCGGCTGTTTCAGTCACTCCTAAGCCTGATCGCCCCTGAATACTTTGAGAAGCTGGCACCCTGCCTGGAAGCAGGTAAGTGGCATCAGACATGGCCGGCATCGTCTCATCTCAGTCCCTTGGAAGGGCTTCTGACATCGGTCACCTGTGTCCACAGTTTGTAATGAGATTGACCAATGGCCAGCCCCCGTGCCTGGGCAGACCCTGAACCTACCTGTCATGGGAGTTGTCATTCAGGTGAGGACCAGCTGAAGAGTAAGCCATGCTGGTGGTGGTGGTGGTGACACTCTACTCCCTTTCTGGCAGCTGCTTCCTTCCTCCCTAGGTGCGCATCCCATCCAGGGTGGACAAGCTGGAACCCAATCCGCCAAAGCAGTGTGACCAAGAGGTGGGGAATGGGGTAGAAGGAGCTGGGCCTTAGCTTGAGCCTTGTCCCTGGGCTTGGGTGATTATTGCCTCTGCCTCACCAGCCTACTTTGTGGGTGGCCAAACCTAGGCAAAGCCATGGTGGTGACCAGCATTTTCTGTATGGAGCCTGTGCTGGGGGGAGGGGGATGGCATGGGGCAGGGGCTGCTGGATTGTCATCAGATAGAACATTCACCTTGGCCTGACCTACACTCCCTTCACTTCTCAGAACCTGCTGCCAGCCCCAGTCGTCCTCACTAGTGTCCACGAACTGGATCTGTTTAGGTGAGCCCCGTAGGGTACCGTAGCCTTCTCTGAGGGAGCCTCCCCACAGTCATACACATACAAGTGTGTATGTCATGCAGGGCACAACTTGCCAAGAAAGGCTGCTCATCCAAGTGATTCTTGAGGAGCCCACTTACCCAAGTGTCTGACTTAGGGAAAATGAACACAGTGGACAGGAAGGTTCTGTGCTTGGAGAGCTTGTTAGGGAGACGTTTGCTCCCTAAGGCTGCCCTTTGTGCCTTTCTAGGGATCTTCAAGGGATCCTGGACTTTGAGATTATCTTGTTCCATTCTGGGCCCAATAGGAACCAGGACTTTAGTCTGGAGGCATAAGAGGAAATAGGAATAACAGAGCCCTTGATTGGTAGGACTCCCTGGGGCTCTGGATCTGCAGCCCCTCACAGGCAGAGTCCAGGTCAAGCCCCCTAAGCCAGCACTAGCTCAGGTGGTCTATCAGAACATGGGGTAACTTTGATGACTTGAGACATCCCTTGCTCTTGGACCATCCTTACTACTGTCTTTGGGAGAGGTAGTGCCCTGTGCGCATCACAGCTCCTTTGTAACAGAGCTACCTGACTGACCCAATTGCTCTCCTGAACCAGGTGCTTCCGGCCAGTGCTAACTCATGTGCAAACCCTGTGGGAGCTCATGCTCCTTGGGGAGCCCCTCGTGGTTCTGGCACCCTCGCCTGATGTGTCTTCAGAACTGGTGCTAGCCCTGACCAGGTACAAACTTTACCTACTAGACTGTCATGGCTGTGCTTGGTTACCCAGCAGTATACCTTCTTTGTTGCCGTACCCCACAGCTGCCTACAGCCCCTGAAGTTCTGCTGTGACTTCCGCCCCTACTTCACCATTCACGACAGTGAGTTCAAGGAGCTCACAACACGAACACAGGCTCCGTAAGTACATGTCCTCCCTTCCCAGCCTCACACACTACCTCCCCTAGGCCTCTCTCTGCCTCTTCTCTCTTTCTCTCTCTAGACCAAACGTGGTCCTAGGAGTCACAAACCCTTTCTTTATCAAAACACTCCAGCACTGGCCTCATGTCCTCCGAATTGGGGAACCCAAGATGTCAGGTGAGAAGACCAGGGGCTATAGGCCTCACTAGCTTGGGACCTAAGGTGAGGGTCTATATCCAATACCGCTGAGGCCATAGGCATCAGCAGAGTTGTGGGTCCAAACCTTGGCTACTCTGTATATTTCACAGGGGACCTTCCTAAGCAAGTCAAGCTTAAAAAACCCTCGCGGCTGAAGACCCTAGACACCAAGCCAGGTCTGTGCTTCCCCCTTGGGCTGCAGCCCCGTCTACTCTGGTAAAGCCTGTCCTGGACTTGGTAGATTCCTCCAGTGGGGGTGGCCAGGCCTTCTGACTCTTTTTCTTTCTACTCAGGCCCCGTGGTGGCAGGTGGGGGGACATTGTCTTCTTTAGCAGGTCTCTTGAGTCTCAGGACGGATGGGTGAGAGATGTGCAGGTTCTGTCGAGGGAATGGGGCTGTAGGCAGATCAGACACCATCTGCATCATCAGTAGAGCTGTGGGAATGTGGAAGGGAGGCTGAATGGACAGCCACAGCTCTGACCTCCTGTCAGGCCTCTACACCTCATACACTGCCCATCTCCACCGGGACAAAGCACTGCTTAAACGGCTGCTCAAGGTATAGGCTATTGGGTAGGGCCTGGACGTGGGTCCTCGGTGTGGTGTGAAGGATGCCAGATACCAGCCAACGCTGAGGCTCAGTTACCTGCTTCCTGTTGCAGGGAGTACAGAAGAAGAGGCCATGGGACGCACAAAGTGCCCTGCTGAGGCGGCACCTCCTAGAACTCACACAGAGTTTCATTATTCCCCTGGTGAGATGGGCAGGGTGTGCCGGCTGTAGGCGTGAGGGGAAATAGGAGGGGTGGTGAGAGCAGAGGCTGTGACAGCAGGGCTCATGGCCCACATTTTCCGTGTCCCTTACCCTCCAGGAGCACTACATGGCGAGCCTCATGCCACTGCAGAAGAGCATCACACCCTGGAAGGTAGAGTCATTTCAGTCCCCATACCAAGAAGGGAAGGCCCAAGACAAATGTCCGCATGGAACACAGAAGGTGGCTGTGATGCAGAAAGCCACCAGGGCATGAAGTTGACCTTGTGCCTGCCAGGCATCCCGCACAGGGCAGAGAAATGAGGACTGCAAGGAGGGATACTGACAGAACTCCTGAAGGGTGGTCCAGGGATCTGCCCCAAGCAGGATAGGGTGAAGATCTTCAGATACATCCTGGAGGGAGGGTTCCATCCCGCTGAAAGGTAGGACCTATCTGCCTGTGCTCTTTAACACCCAGCTCATGTTAACTTTGTCTCAGAGCCCCCCCCAGATCTGCCCCTTCCGCCAGGATGATTTCCTGCGTAGTCTGGAACACGCGGGACCCCAGCTCACTTGCATCCTCAAGGGCGACTGGCTGGGCCTCTATAGGTGGGAAAACATCGGGCACAGGCTGCTGTGGGTGTCCCAAACATATAGGCCAGCTCCTCAGCTGCTCCTTGCCCATCACAGGCGTTTTTTCAAGTCCCCCCATTTTGATGGCTGGTATCGGCAGCGGCATAAAGAGATGGCCCAGAAGCTGGAGGCTCTACACCTGGAAGCTATTTGTGAGGCGGTGAGGGAAGGCAGAGGGAGGGGGATAGGGACAGGCCCAGGGGAGGTGGGAAGCCTGGTGAGAAGAACCTGAAATGTCCCTAGCAGAACATTGAGGCCTGGATGAAGGACAAGTCAGAGGTGGAAGTGGTGGACCTAGTCCTGAAACTTCGAGAAAAGCTGGTGAGAAACCTCCTTTCCTACCCAGCCTCCACCTGCCAGGCCAGAAGTATGCCCACCCCTTACTACCACTGTCCCTCCAGGTGCGGGCACAGGGCCACCAGCTCCCTGTGAAGGAGGCGACACTGCAGCGGGCTCAGCTGTACATCGATACAGTTATTGGCTCCCTGCCCAAGGACCTACAAGCAGTCCTGTGCCCTCCCTAGGACAGAGCCAACTTGTGTGGTCCTGGAGGCCTAAGTCTGCCAAGTTCCCTCTCCTGTGAAGGCAGGCCTCCACCAAGCTGGGGGCTCCCAGCCTTGGGCTCCTACCTCAGCTTCAGTTCCCTCCCGGAACCACCTCTGTCCCAGCAGTAAAAATGACATTTGGAATGACAGTCTGGTCCCTGACTATGGGGGGATTCTGTGCTGGCACTGCCTCGTTCCTTCCTGGACCCCACCTGTCCTCTGCAGCTGGAGGTGGGAGTGGGCTAGTAACCCTCACTGATGTAGGTGCCTTCACCACCTGCCCCCTCTTGGCGCCCATCTGTCCACACTTCAGGATGCCTTGTGTTGTGGGTCCTTTAGCCCAGCAGGCTTTCCAGCTCAGAACAGAGGGAGGCAGCTGCCAGGGCCAGCCCCTCTTCTTTACACTCCACTCATTCTGTCTTCTGGGGAGTGATGGGTACTTTGCCTAGGCTGTTCCTTGAGCCGGCAGAAGCTCTTTGTTCTGTGAGGACCTAAATCTCCTTCCTGCTGTGACTGGTCAGCATGAGGGAGTGAGGAATGGGTATAGGACTGGGCGCCCACTCAGAAAGCAAGCTCAGGCTGGTTTTTTTAGGTCCTCACCACAGTCCTTGTTCCTTTCTTGGAACACCCCCCTGGATACCTGCTCCATGCATTTCACCCAGGCTGCCAAGGGAGACTCCAGCTTTCCCCTCATGTCTGCCCCTCCCCTTGAAGCTAGAAAGCTTTGGGCTATAGCCTAATGTTGCATTCTCTGCTGTCTTGTCCTTAGGGTACAGTTGGTCTCGTAGGCCGCGGTGTTTCTTGAAGGTACTGTTCTGTGGTCTTCGTAGGAAAGGGCTAACCTGTGTGATCCCAGGGACCTAAGGCTGCCAAGGGCCTTCCTCCCCCTTAAAGGGTGTATCCTGGTTTCAGCACCCCTTCTAGAACTACTTTGGTCCCAGCAGTAAAAATGGCACTTGGAACCACAGCCTGGTCCATTAATGTTGGAGGAGTCTTTGCTGGCCCTGTCTCGCCCCTTCCTGGATTGGATACTGTTGTACAATGACCCCTCAAGCCCGAGCTTGGTACAATGAGCTACAATGTTGCAACCCAGCACAAAATTAGGGCTCTTGGGATGGTGCAGACTAAAATGAGGAACCAGAGTTGCAGCCAAACCCTGTGGAGTATCAGAAACCTGTAGGAGGGTCTCCTGACCACTCAGACTAAATCTGCAAGATGAGGCCACGTCCCTGGGCAGTGTCAGGCAGTAGCAGGGAAAGAGGGGCATTAAAAAGAGCGGACTGTATACCCTGTAATGCTTTAAGGGGTGTTGGCAAAGTAAGCCGATGCGGAGCTGTATGATGAGCTTTTGCTTTTTTCCAGAGCTCCCATGTAGCATGACTACAACCCGTTCTGGGTTCTTTGGACTACTTTGATCAAACCCTCAAGTATGTATTACCTTGCCCTTCTGCACTGATCCTGGCTAAGTCCAGGCCTAACAAAGGCAGTCAGTCCATTGTAAACAGTGCCAGCCCTGTTTCTAGATCTTTGTACGGGTTCTCTCGTTTACCCCCCTGACCTCAGCCTATAGCCTGTCACATTGTATCCATTTTACAGGCGAGGAAACAGACAAGATAGATATGATGGTGTACAGTGAGCTAGATCAGTCTAACTCGGTGTCCAGTTAGAAAACTGAGCAGAGGCAGGTGGAGGTGGAGACCTTGGCATTAGGAAGAGTGACCCTGAGTACCCGCTGGAACAGGGGTGCCAGCCTCACCACCAAAAGCCTGGTCTCTAAGGGATCTTCAGAAATGTGGCGTCTTCCACTGTGACAGATGGAGCTTCCAGGCTATGGGGACAGCAGAGTGCTAGCCATTTGGAGTCTGCAAAACTGTGCCTTTAGTATACCCAGCCTCCTACCCAAGTATACAGTGGCCAGTTCTGAGGCCCTCTCAGGTCTTAGTGGTCCCACCCTAAAGAGCATATCTCAAATGCCATTGCAATGTGTGTTTCTCATGTTTTCCTTTCACTTCCTGAGGGCTGTTATACAGTAAGCTTCAGAGTGGCTCCCATGGACCTCAGTCACCATCCGTCTAGGACTGTAACTAACTGCTGCTTTGGCAGTCGGTGATGCCCAGAACACTGGACATGGGGCTCAGAAAACAGATTAGGGGAGGTGGGAGGGTGTGGACACAACAGCACTGACTAGGGCATAGACCCAAGGCTGACACGTGTAGGACAAGGAAAGTTCCAGTCCTTTTCAGGGGCTTGTCCTGGCTACTGGGTAGTTTACAGCCTGGGGCCTCCTACCAGCTATGTCCTCTTCTGCTCTTGCTCTCCCAGGATGGGATCAGCTCTGAGTTAGAGGGGCTTCTGTCCAGAGTAGGCTTAGTCCCTGCCAAGGACAGGGCCTGGAGGGAAAAAGACAGATGGCTACAAGGAGGTGCTCCCCTCCCCCCAAGCCCAAGTCCCTCATGGTTAAGATGCCTGGATGCCTGGATAGTGAAAAACTAATCCAAGAGGCTGTGGTCCCCAGGGCTCCCTTTTGTGGCAAGTAGGAGAGATCTGTGAGTGAGCATTCAGGGGATCTAGGAGGGCTGGGTGGAGGTCATGAGGCATCCAGCCCCAGGGACAGACCGGAAGGACAGGAGGGTTCTTTTACCCTCCTGCTTCCTGCCTTCTATTTTGAGCCCTACTCAGTTTGGAATACTGACTGGCCTTCCCACAACTTTGGTATTAAAATATCTTTTTGTCATACAATACTTGTCTTAATTTTTTGATACAGAGTTTGCAGCCCTGTGAATCGCTGGGTGTTTCGGAGTCCCTTGGTATGCATGGGGGGGGGGGGGTGTTGGTGGAGAAAAGATAACGTGAATAAAGCCTGGCTGCTAGGCAATGGAGCCAGCCCATCTTGCTCAGAGAGAACCCGTGAAGACCTCAGATTTGTAAAGTCTTTTGGTTGGGGAAGTCTTAAGAATTAGGGCAGATCCCCCAAGTTTGGGGAGGAGATGTCTGAGAAAATAGGAGGAAGTAGGCAGTCTTCAGGGAAGGCCAGTTTTGGTGGAGGGGATAGATATCCCAGGTTAGACACGAGCTGAGATTTGGGGACTAGTCCCAAACCCTGTTCTGAGACAGTGGGATCATTGCCATGTTACAAATCCATAGGACCTCAGCATGGGTGACTTGGAGACCAGAAGTAGGAACCCTACGGAGTGGTCCGGTCCCACCTTATTAGATGAAGGCTTGGGGGTCGGTAAGGCCCAGATATGCCGGGCCGGGGGACTAGGAAGGGGAGCAGTAAGGGCAGAGATCCAGCTATTCTGTAGGAGACTTTAGCGGCTAGGATCCTGAAGAAAGAATCAAGCCCTCGCCATCGGGAACGGCACGAACGTGGTCCGCCTGTTGCCAATCTGGTGGTGAGGTTCCTTGCGCCCCGCCCATCTCAAAAGAGGAACACTTGAAGCTTCGGTCTGGCCCAGCCAGAAGCCACCCACTAACGCCGGGCCGCGTGCGCCATTCAGTTCGGCCTGAGGCACTCCCGGGGTGGTGCCCAGCCTCAGCAAACTCCTCTGATGACGGGGCGGTGGGGGTGGGGTGGGGGACGCAAGCAACTGCAGCAGGCTAGGCGCGCGGATTACTACAGGGCGCGAACCACCAAGCAAAGCATTGCGCTTTAGTGGCTCTAAGCCGGGGAAAACGCGGGGTACACTAGAGACGCCAGCCGCCCCTCCTAACCTCCCTCGGCTATCCTCTATACCTTAGTCTCGTCCCTCCCTCTCGCCCGCCCCCGTCCTCCCCGCCCTCCTTCTCCCCTGGCGGGGGCGGGGCCGGCAGCTCCCGCGCGCTCCGGCCCCTCCTCGGCCACACAAAGGCCCGTCTCCATGGCAGCCGCGCGGGCCGGAGCGCAACGCAGAGCGCGGCCCCGGCGCCATCGAGCGACGGCTGCGGAGGAGCAGGTACCGCACTTGGGGACGGGAACTGCGGGGGGCGTCGCACAGGCCCAGGCTTCGCCGTCCACGCCGCTCGGCCTCGGTTTGCGCACCCGGACGCGGGGGTGCTAGGGCAGTGCCGCTGCGTGGAGGGCGACGGGGGCCTGCGTATTTGCCCTGTGTCTGTCTGTACAACCGGCTGGGCCTGGCTGCTCCTTCCCCACCGGTTGGCGACGAGGCCCTCCGTGCCAGGATGTTGGGAGACTGACCTGGCAGGCCGGGTCCCATCGACCCAGTGGGGCTGCGCTCCATCCGGTGTAGTTTCAAACCCTCCCTCGCGGCCGGCGTCCCTACCTCTTCGCCGCCGAATCGACGGACCAGAGCGAGTCATCCCTGTTGTGCCGGACCTCCAGGCCCCAGTTCTCAAGCTAAGCCTGCGCGGACGCCGGGCTCTGTTGGGACTTTTTTCCAGAGGCGCACAACCACAGCAGTCCTCACACCTTCTGGGACAGGGAACAAGGGACAGAGAGAACCAACACCCAGTAGTACCTGGTGAGGCCCCACGCCTCCCGGCAAGATCTTCGCAGCTTCTAAGTGTAGTTCCTTGGTGTGGTGTTTGGAGGGACACCTAGGACAGAGAGAGGTCTTAGAACTTGGAAGGTGCTTTCACAGTTCCATGTACCTTCTGCAGGGAGCTCTCGTGCATGTGTTTTTACTGTATTCCTCTAGTCAGGCTGTGTGACAGCTTTGTGTGTGTGTGTGTGTGTGTGGGTCCTTTCTCCCTATGTGGGGGTTTCTGAGCCTAAGAATCCTACTAGAGTTTCTGGCCACGTCACTTGACTCCTTTTTCTAACTCTTTGGAGATAGGCAGGAAGGGAGGTCTGCCAGTGGCCACCATGGTGGTGGTGGTCAGAACTGGAGCTGAAGTTAGGCCCCAAAGCCAGTGTAATGTTCTGAGGAACGGAGGCTCTCAGGGCCCTCATTTGCCTTGGGGAGTGCCCCATCTAATGTCTATTCTTCGGTCTGTATTAATGGCTTTAAAGCTGAACTCCTCAAACTGCCCACACACACCTTGAGGGTGGGAACTGTCAGCCTGATTCCACACCCAGATACTTCCCTGGTTTATAGAGAATGCCATCAGAAAGTTGGACTGCCAGTGGGAAGAGTTCTTGCTCTTTGGTCAGGAGGTGACGTTCCTACGAAAGTAGGGCGAGCATGTGAGGTGTTTTGTGGAAT